TTGATAGAGAGCTGAGCTTGACCCTGACATGGTCAGAACATGGCCCATCCGGTGCACTAGGTTGTGGGATACTCAGAGTAAGCCAATGGGCGTGCGTGCTAACTAACAAGTAGCGTGGCAACTACCTCGGCGTGCGTGAGAATTAGCTAGTTACGTGGCGAATATCGCGCCATGCGGGATAACTGGCCAGTAAGTGGATACTTTTGTCTGTGGATGGGGCGCAGAATATAGAAAATGTGGCCACGAACTCAAGGACCCATTCAGTGGGTTCCATTGTCGGGTGTTCGTCGACCTCTCCGCCGCTCGGGTGTCTGACGAGTGTTGAGTCAGTTACACATCGGAACGTCCAAGCTGTCCGGCAGTGGAATGTCTCTTTTGTCAATGGTGAGCTTTTGCAAGCATGTTCAAGTAGCCCACCTGCTGCTATTAGCAGTAACATTACTAACTTCACGAGGCTTCGTTTCAGCTGGGGATGTCAAAATGAAGCGCTTGGCGACTATCGTGAGTTTCGCGGATCTCTCTGGAGGGGCTCGTGATTCTCCAGGACCTCGAAAAAAACATCCATACTGGGTTGCTACATAGCCAGCGGAGAGGTGGTTGTCTTGTAGGTGTTATCTCGGCATGGTGCTCGGACTCCTACAAATCTGAGTTCCTATCCCCCGGGAGCATATCCCTGGGGTGGCGTTCTGGTACTTGCCGAGGCTTTTGAGGCCAGGGTCGAAGTCTCGTGTCAGGCACCCGGGGACTTGACAAGTCTCGGGAAATCTCAAATGCGAGCCATGGGACATCGATACAGAGATATTTTGGGTGACCTCCTTCCCAACAAGGTGGAAGTGCTCTCTTCAAGCCTTCGACGAGAGGTAGGGCGGGTATCTTATTTGGACGCCATGATCAGTTTCCATTACTTTGAGCGACACGCTTAATATCACGCACTGATTCGAAACTGATGACCCAAATAGTAGTCTCGAAGTTCGTAACTACTACAGCATTTCCCAGTCATGTTTCTGACTTACGCACTGCTATTTCTGGCCAAGTTGGCCAGGCCAACCGCATGCGAATACTGGGGAATGCTGTATCCGTGCAATCAGCTACTGATGATCAGCATGCCTGGGTACTGATGGCCACTTACGCGTTGTGCGCGTGTGGGTGCAGAGTTATACCGGCTGAAGTACCAAGTCAATAGGGGCACCAGATGAATCAAACGACTTCTCTATATGCCATGGTCTACGCGAAAATCGGAGAACTCGCTTCCGCACACAGATTGCAGTGTACAGCTTGGTACCCGATTTTAGAACGTAAGCTACTAGAGAACCATGATAGCACATCGAAAATGCGACCGCCAATGGCGAACTCGTTCGAAAACCAATCATGACTCGAGATTCTTGAGCATTCCTATCCCAACACCGCTGAATTCCCCTTCCCAGTCAATTGCTGTGAAGCTTGCAAGTTCCGCCCCTT